ATGGAAATTGCAAGTTTGGTGCTGGTCCAAAAATATCTGTACCTGCCCCGTCTGTGTACTAGTGTACTTTAACACTTTAGATGACTTGACGTATCAAACACTAGGTTGCAGATTTAATATCCTTTGCGGAGTATCTTTTGGTAGATCAGCTGAATGACCTCTGACGTTTGGGGAAATATTAAGGCGGCTATCCTTAAACAGATTGCTTTCATTTCATGGAAAATGCCATCAAGGGCCTAAGCCGGTTGCAAAGAAGTCTTAGACAAGTTGCCTACGACCTAACTCGTACTGACGTAGGACAGATCTTTCTCAGACGCTGCCACAACGAGGGATTGCTATGGCGTCACTGTACACTTTACAGAAGCCATGTTTATGCTTAGTGTCTTCATAACTTAAGAATGGCGAATTATCGGATGATAAGACTCTACTTTGTTGAACGGTTTCCCCAAAAGTTTCAGTTGTGTAAGCGCTCACTAAGGCTTCAACATGTCAGAAGTGGAGAAAAAGCCCACGTCAGGTATGATGAGAAAGGTCATTGGCAAATTAAGGACCTTGATGAGGTAATATACTCCCGTCAGCATCGATATGCTTATTCTGTATAGAGGCTTTTGTTGTTGTAGCAACAGTTCTCAACCCCCGGGGTTTCTGGGAGGACGATGTTGTCTTTTCGGGTGTTGCGGCTCGTTCTGGCCGCAGCGCTGTATGGGCTGTTCAGCACCGCTTTGTATTTTGTGTCGAACGGATGTTCTCCGTACGGCTCGATGTTTGGCTTCCAATGTGCAGGTGTCATCTCACGTTTAGTGGGGGTAGATTGTTTCGAAGCAGAGCGTAGTTCGGCTGGTTTCCACGATGACATACCACGCGGAATTGCTTTGACAACATGGGGTTGAGTTTTTAACCGCCAGCATCTTGTAGGTTGCGAGCAGGGTATCTTTTAGGATCCACGAATGCTGCTAGCTAGCGACTTGAGGACTTCGTTCCTGTTTCGAAGCTAGTTGCAGGTGGCTGAGGCGCGGAGAGGGAGAACAGACTATAAAGCGTCACTCCGTGGCGGTAGATTTCGCGGCAAAGATTTTGAGGTTCCTTGCAGATAGTCGGTTAACTTATCGTTAGCGTTACGAAATTTGACGGATGATTGACGTCCACACAGATAGCTGGTTATCCACCGTTTCGTCCGCGCTGGAAGCGACAAGTCCAGGATGTCTTGGCAGAGGATCGCGTGTCTCACTGTGTCGAGTGCCTTCAACTGCGATTCTTCTTCTTCTTAATTGGCGCTGTAACCGCCTAAGCGATTTTG